TATCTATCTATCTATCTATCTATCTATCTATCTATCTATCTATCTATCTATCTATCTATCTATCTATCTATCTATCTATCTATCCATGTTGTTCATTTTATCTAGCTACCTAGCTCTGTGTGTCTATCTCTTAACCTCTTTCTCCTTCTTCTTCCATATTCTATGGTTTTTAGTTGTTCACTCATGCGTTTTTCTTTGGGTAAATGCACATCCATCATACATAGCTTTGTTACATTTTTTGACTTCAACTAACTCTAACTTGTCAAACGAATATTACTCTGGTCATGAGGTTATTATTTTCTCGGAAACAGATATTTACACAACTTGCAAGCGCTCATCACCACTGCCCCCTAGCAAATAATCCACGACATCCTGTCAACACCATCGGCAGTAACTCTACTCCTTAACTGATTCCCCGCCTTTTTTGTCCGAGTAATAACCCTACCACGAATTCCATCTTAATCTGGTCGTACATTGTTGTTTCGTATACAGACACTTGGTAAGGCGGATGAATACCAGGACATACATCAGCACACATATCAATCTGCAATTAGGAGAGATGAAGTGAAAATTGGGAAACTGAAAGAATAAGAACAAACATTTTGCACTAGTACGGTTGAAATTATGAGCTCAGTGTTATTAAATATCTGCTAGTATGTGAACAGCTTAAAAAGCGTCCGTTTCATCCCGCTTTGCGTTCACTTGAAGCGAAATACCAAAAAGTTTAAAATCAGTCATCATATTCCCAGATAATTAAACTGCCTCCTTTGTTTGATAACCTTTTGCGAATTTGTGGATGAGAACTTGAAATCGGATGTCCTTTTGAATAAATATATTACAACTGACTGCCAATCGTGGCTAACGTATGTCTCTAAGCACAATTCTCCTGAAATATTCCCGTCCACTAACTGAAGTTTACGGCACACTTTGACAGCCTATCCTGTCTCAGTCAGCTTCAAGAGCAACTAATTGTGATAACTTTTGTGAAATCTCAGTAGTAACTGTTCATTCAAATAACAGCTGTGATACTGCTCATAACGTGAGCACAAGTCAATGGCTAACTTCGGATTATACTTACCGACATTTTAAGCTGGTCGGTTACAGTTGGCTAGACTGTGAACTGATTCGAAGCGTGATGCATGCATCTATCCAAGCTCTTTCCTACTCTCACATGGCGAGCAATCGAAGTTGAAAATTGACCGAATTTATAGTTTTGTTTGATTACCAAACAAACAGCAAACACTAACAATATGTCATGCTGCCTTCATTTGGGGCAAGATTTCGATCTGAACACGTACGAGCATTCGGAGATGCCAATCACAGGTTTGCTCGCACAAATCGTGCTGCCACACGACACAGCATGCATAATTGGTTGGTACAAATGTCATACATAACGCAAAGTATGAACCAAGTTGTTCCAACACCCTGATGCTCGTGAACTGCAAACTGTGGTTCGAACATCGGTCCATGATTGCCAATTGTGAGGTGGCAAGATCTGGAAAGGAGAATAGCTGCATTCTGTTTGTTAGACAAACCATTTGCCAGTTACGAGCGCAACTAGGTGAGTTTTCTAACACTATTCCTGTTTTTTTCTATTAGCTAAGACACCAGTTTCGGTCATATTACCAACTAAAATCACCGATCCTAATTGCGCGCACACAAACACGCACTAAATGTTCCTCAGTGGACAGATTAAACGATCACATTACATCGGATCAGTTACCGAACGGTCATCAAGTACAAGCTCTCCACTGTAATAGTTGCATGAAGTCCTTAAGATACTCAACAATTAACAGGAACTAGTCAGCAATCACATCTTGTGAATGTACACTTACATTAGTCAATTTCAACAGTATCCAGTTCCGTCTGGAAGGGATTCCGGTACATCATTCCCTAGGAGACCCGCAAAGGCCACCAATTGGGATTAACCCACTAAATACAAAACGATTCACTCAAGTGATACAATTTCACGGACGTGGTAGACGCGATCTATCGATAGTAGATCGCATGCGGATATTGTACAACAGTCTACCTTAGTTTACATAAGGCAAGGCACACCTTGGCATAAAAATTTCGTATAGAAAAATTGATTATTATTATTATCCACATTCCTTTTTAAAATATATTACTAACAGTTTAACAACAGGTCTAACGAAACATTATGGATCCTTTTTATATGATATCGACATCAGTGACCATAAATTGTTTCCGGAGCGAAGCAAGTTTCATTGGAGCAAACTTGTTATTCCAAACCACTGGATAGTGTTATTGTAAATAATCAAAACTGTACGCAAACGTATCTTTTTGGGATGCTTGTTTATAACCGGGTTTATATTGACCTCTGGGGTAATTTGAAACAATAAATACAATAAACCATATATACCACTCGTTTTTTACTTCCTAGCATGTTCACATGCTTACTTTCACCGCGATCGTTCCAGTTAGTGGTGGATTCCCTTTATCAATAGCCAGCGCTTGCAAAACATAATGGTCCATTCGTTCTCGGTCGAACACAGCGGCAGTAGTTAGTGCACCGGAAATCGGATCAACTACGAATCCGGTGGAATTTAGCCCATTCTCCAAAAGACGATAATGAATTTCAGCGTTTGGACCGCTGTCCAAATCTGTGGCTAATAAATTCCACTGATACAATCCAACAGGAGACGCCCGGAGTGAAGAAAAAGGCTGCTCTGTGCCCGCGAGTGTTCCTGTCGATCCGGAATGGGATCCGGTGACTGACGCTTGCGTGGCTGAAATTCTGCGAAGTGGAGTACCTGGTGGAGCATTCTCTTCCACTTGGAATGCAAATTCATTCTGAACGAACTGTGGTTTATTATCGTTCACATCAGTGATGTGAACTGTGACGTTCTGTTCCGTATAGTGTCCAACCATATCAGAACAGAGTATTGGAATGTTTTGGATTGCGGTTCCTTCACGATCCAGCTCGACTGCAGTGAGTAAGTTGTGCATCACCATACCGCTAACTGGATTAGATCCACCACTATCCATTGTGTCCGTGGTTCTCGCAAGCGTGAAATTGACCGTACGTAGACGACATTCCACGGAGTCTGTACCGTCGAAATCAGGATCGTAAACCTTGTAAAAACCAGAGTAAAGTCGATATTGACGAGAAGCATCAACAAGTGAATCAGGAATGGTGATAAATTTTTTAGGTTATACAACAGTTGTACTAAACATGTAGGATTTGTTCCTGAACATGTTTTAAGCAAGTTGATTATTCACATCGAAAACCAAAATTTGATTCAGGGGATTCTCATTTCAAGTTAACTCCACCAAAATTTCTTGATTCGTCAGGATGCAAACCGCAACACATGTTGCTTTTTATCCTAGTTAACGTGACTGGTTCTGAGGAGAATTTCCACTGTCCTTAAGACCAATTTGTTTCCTATGGGAATCGTTTCGAAACATTTAATATGTAATGACTCAACTACAGACCCCAAATGATCGAATTTGAGCATTTCTTCAATGCAACTGTGTGAGTAGATCAAGGTTCTTTGTTTCAGTGACACTGTTTTCAAATCAGCTCCCAAACTCACATTATTATTGCACGCACAAGTTTCAATCGGATTTCAAAATACTTTTGCAAAATACAGATAGGATAAATTTAAATGAAAATTTTGGCGAAAAGAAGCCGCGGAGGATTTTCCTTCATCATTCACTCAGATCATTTTTAGACAGAACTAGAGGATGGAACATAACATGTAGATCACGGGCACATTACTTAGTTAACCACTATAAGACTGATCAAATCTTTGTATTTTGTGCAGGCAATATAGTGTGATAGACGGTGATACACTGAACGGGAGAGAAAGAAATCTGAACAGAAACTAAACCCATGTAATGTGACACAGATTGAGAGTACGGAAATGTCACTTGAGATAATACAGGATGATCCATAACTATAGGACGATACCTACATCCCGCAGTACAAACTAATGACGATAGGATTTACCTGCTCCATGGAAACCGATCGACCATTAAGTCAACCATCAAGGGAAATACAAGGCGTCTCTTACTAGTGCCTGAACTGAAAGATTGGATATAAACCAACAACGCTAATCGTTCATGATCCTGCTTTGCATGTAATTGGCTGTGCACGTGCCATGATTTGGAATTTATTCAACACACCTATATCCTCCCCAAAGGTCTAATAGGCGGCTGATTTAGTGAATAATATGCTTCCGGACTATCTATGATGTATGTGGTCTGCAGATAGTCGCACGGCTAATCAGAAAGAACTATGTTTTGAAACCGTTTGGTAAAAATTGGAAGCTTGTCATCCCACGGTTACTCTTGCCTGATAAATCAATGCCTTCACTTAAGGATCACATTTTGATTCAAATGAAACTTGCATGGTTAATAAATGCAGGGAATAAACAGTCATGTAGTTTAAATATATATATATATATATATATATATATATATATATATATTGAAATACTATTCAATCATGATTTACTGGATTCCTTTGCCATTTTCAACATTGTACTATTTTTCTCATTGGGATGAATTCAAAAAGGGAGTCATGTTGGTAGAAATGACAACCATTGTGGAAACGCAAAAGAAACACGTGGTTATATTTTGATCCATAACTTCGATACTAAAACAACTGCTTTACCTGATTGTATTTCACTTTACCAAGAAGGAAAAATTATATAGTTGTGTGAGTAAGTGAGAGATT